ACACACACACACACACACACACACACACACACACACACACACACACACACACACACACACACAGATTAATTTAGCTGATGAACATTTGTGATTACAGAGCACTTAAATAATTGAGGGGTAAAAAAAAACAAGTGTGTTGATTGTTTGTGGGGTGAAGTTCTTCAGTTGTTTTCTTGTTGTTTTCTGCCCTCTTGTGGTCAGCAGAGGACAGTGACGTGACATTTTCCTCGTGTCAGGATGTAAACGTGTGTCTGTGTGTGTGTGACACAGAAAATTCAGACAGAGCTGAACGGCCACGAAGCGACGCTGGCGGACCTGAGGAAAAAGAACCAGGACCAGGACGGCTCACAGAAGGTCGTGGGACAGATAGACGACACCCAGGTATCAGAAACAGAGAAACCACGCACACTGTTTATAAATAAACACAAATAGATGACTTTTGGTTATTTTTATGTTTTTGACATTTCACTTTACAGTCATGTGAAAACAGACAGTCCATCCTCTATAAATTCTAGGGTTTTACTACATAGCAGAGCGTACTCACCCCAAGGACAGACTGTGCAATACTCAGTGAAATGAGCTCCGTTTTGAACACTTCAGGCCTCAGTTAGCAGGTTCAAGGTCATAACAGGATAGCTATAAAAAGAAAAGTTAGAATTGTTTCAGAAAAGAACATGATTTAAATAGATCTCTGACATGTTGTTACATCAAACACTAATCGATAAACATTTACTTCAGCTATAAAAATTCAGTCTGTAGATGTGCAGTTTTTATATATTAAAACATATTTTTTCACACAGACGTCATGTTATTTATGCCAAGGTTTCTCAAACGTATTGGGTCTGAGGACCCCTTATAGAAGTGAAAATATTCCAGGGACCCCCTCATAAACCTCATGCTGATTTAAAACTGATTTACTGCCATTTTAACTCCTAAATGCCATGAGAATAATTATTGTTTATTTGGTTGAGTTTATTTTACTGGTGCATTGTTCCCCTTATGCTTTTATTAAGTTTTTTTAAATGAAAAACAAAATTAACAGTTTTTCACAATTTTTTTAGGACCTCCAAGTTATAGCTCGCAGACCCCTGGGGGTTCTGGGACCCCAGTTTGAGAACCTCTGATTTACGCCGCAATGCATTCTGGGTAAATGATGTAAACAGGCTGCTCCAGTGTGAGTTCCATCCAGTTTGAAAATTCATTCTGCACAGTGTCTGACATTTTAAATGAAACCAGAGCACGCTGATTGTCAGTAACAGTAAAGAGTAAATGTACTTTATTAATCTCCGATGGGGAAATTATTTGACTGTATTTTTCCCATCGCACATGTAAGCACACCTGTGGAGCAGTGGGCTGCCATCTGAGACCACCAGGAAACAGCGGGGGTCAGGAGTGGGTCAAATGAGGGTTGTCTGTTGGACCGATTCCCTTCCGATCCACCCATGAGCAGGGCCCTGTCTGTTAGGAACCAACCGCTCAGCATGTTATTCATTATAAAACGTTTGGATTTCCCAAAGGACGTGCAAAGAAGGAATGTAAAGACAAATGAGTCAAAACTACTTTATAACCAAATGATACACTTTCTGTCTTATCATGATTGTGTTTGTTTTGTYGCCAATTATTTTAAAAGGATCCACGATTAGTTGTAACATTAGACTTTATTTAAGAAATATATATTTTAACTGTAAAATAAAGACTGTAATAATACAGCAGGATGTTTAGTTTTGTAAATTTTTAAACCAAAAGTTTAAAAAATACATTTTAACACGGACGGGGCCATTTTATTTAGACACAAAGCATTCTGGGTAAATGATGACGTGGATAGGTCCTCGGTGCGAGGCTGCTAGCGAGCTATATCCACCCTGAAGGTTAATCTTGGACAATATCTGATGATCGACTCTTTTAAATGAAACCAGAGAGCGTTGACAGAGAGGAGAAGGTAGAAATGACTCAGCTGGAACTGAAAATATAGATGGAGGACAACAGTTTAGCTTGTTTGTCGCGCTAGCGCCAAGCTAATACATATAAGGCAATATAGTGTCTGCGCTAACTCTAAAGCTAACAGGCTAAGCTGAGGTTCTTCTTCCATGAAGCAGCTCTGTTGTCCTCCATCCATATTTTCAGTTCCAGGCTGAGTCATTTCTACCTTCTCCTCTCTGTCAACGCTCTCTGGTTTCATTTAAAAGAGTCGATCATCAGATATTGTCCAAGATTAACCTTCAGGGTGGATATAGCTCGCTAGCAGCCTCGCACCGATGACCTAGTTGATGTCATCATTTACCCAGAATGCTTTTTGTGTAAATAAAATGGCTCCGTCCGTGTAAAATATTTTTCTAAAAATTTACAAAACTAAACAGCCTACAGTATTTTTAGTCTTTATTTTACAGTTAAAACATATTTTAACAAATAAAGTCTAATGTTACAACTAATCATGGATCCCTTTAAGGTTCGAAAAAGTGAACATTTTCCACAAAATCACATTTTTACAGTTTTTGGTGTGCCCAAAACCAGATCCCAGTGTAAATAAAATAAAGACTGCTACTGAAATCTGACACAATGTGCTTATAATTGGTCTGTTTTTGCATTTGCGTGTTCCCGTTTTCCAGAAAATGCTTGCGGACGTCTGGACCAAGTTCCGTCTCTTCCAGAAACCGGCCAACTTTGACGCTCGGCTGGCCGAGTGCGAGCGTGTGCTGCAGGGGGTGAAAGGTCAGGTGGGGCTGCTGGACTTCCGCAGCGTGGAGCAGGATGTGGTGCAGTCTCAGCTGGAGCAGTGCATGGTGGGTACTCTGGCAGATGCATAAAGGATGGATGGATGGTGTTGGAAGTTGCGTGCGTCTGTTTTGTGTCCAACAGAAGCTGTATAAGGTACTGAGTGAAGTGAAAGGGGAGGTGGAGACAGTGATTAAAACAGGCAGACAGATCGTTCAGAGACAGCAGACGGACCAACCCAAAGAGATGGACGACAGAGTGACCGCCCTGAAACTGCTGTACAACCAGCTGGGAGCGCAGGTCTGCAAACCCAAACACTCACCACTGAATCCTATAAGAACCAGGGCGGAATATTTCAAACCGTTTTGTTTCCAGGTGACTGAGAGTAAACTGGAGMTGGAGAAAAGCCTCAAGTTATCCAGGAAGTTGCGTAAGGAGCTGAATGGGCTTACAGAGTGGCTCGCTGCCACTGACGCTGAGCTGACCAGGCGCTCTGCTGTGGACGGCATACCCAGTGACCTGGAGGCTGAGGTGGCATGGGCACAGGTACAACACACGTATGGGAGGTYATCTGGAAGGTGTTTCAACAGCTACACTGTTAGGAGAGGACCTATCATATTTATTCAAGTATAATGCATAAAACTTAATCCATAAAATCATCCATAAAGTTGGGGGGTAGTACTATACTCGGATAAATATTTTTACTTATGTATTTTAACTGAAATATCAGCCTGAGTCCGGAAATGAGACCGTGTCATATAAAGCAGTTGAAACGAGCTACCTCTGACACTCCTTCGTGATTCAGAGCGAGATACCAGGCAGGAGACATGATGTGAAAAAAAAAGGGGGGGAAAGTATTCCTGCACCTCAGTAATGATAGCAAACTAATGACATTAGCGTGTGACGCTGCTGGAACAACAAACACATGTTCCTCTGTAATGGCTGCCATCTACCAGTGTTCTGAAAAAGTTTGTATCCCTGAAAAATATTTCCCCACCAGAGGGGGCGCWCRCGAGTAGGAAGTAATCTGCTTTTCCCCCACAAGATGGCCCAAATCTCATGTGAAGTCTCTGACTTTTGTGTTGGCGCCTCCTGGTGGACTATGTGTAAAATGCCAGAATTCATATGATGATGCTACAGCTGATATATATTTGTTGTCAAAATACCTTTTAGTACATATGTTGATAAAATAAAATGAACAATCCAATGATCATTTTACTGATATGTATAAAGACTGCAAAGGCTGAAAAATCTTGAAGTCTGAATGAAATTGGAGGTAGTTTGAGGATTAAAATTTTTATGCTTTTTAAGCTCAAAAAAGTGGGAGGGTCGTATTATTCATGAGATCGTATAATACACGAATAAATACGGTATTTCAGTTGTTACCTACAAATAAGTTCCTCACGTATATCATTGTTGTATCTCACTGGGCTCCAAAATGTCTYATGGCAGTCTCAGGGGTCCTCGCTAACTCACAATCCGCTAATTAAAAATAYAGCTTCRCTTACGCTAAATCGCGTAAACATGTAAAACAAATTAGGAGAGGCTAACAACTAAACAATAAAAAATGATTGCACACTAACATCTAACTGCTAATAGTTAAGACGACTGTCACTCAGTTTGYGTCACAGATTCTCATCTCTTTCTAGCTAAAGAYTGGCAGGACTGACACAAACCTTCAACGGTTTTCAGAGTTAGTGAAAAAAGTTATTCAGCTAGCTAAAAATAGCTTTGCTAATGCCAAGCTACTCAGCATGTAAAAAWTGTAATTAGCAGAAGCTCATGTTTAACAGCTAAACAAATAATAAGTAGCTGAAGCTAACCCTAACAGCTAATCACCAAGACAGCAGCTATCAGTCTGACTCRTCTCAAGAAAGCTAAAGATGTATTATGACAGAAACCATGTCCAGGTCTAAAAGCAACAACAAAAAATGCTAACTGGAAAACTGAACTTGTTTATTTTCATTTCTAAATTGTCCTCCAGCAGATTAAATGATTAATGTGGCCGTGGCAGCCAAGGTGGGCACAAACCAGTCCTAGGAGGGTACAATGTAGAGGGAGATGGGCAACAAAGAGAAGAGCATGGCTGAGAATGCGAGCTTTGCACACAAAACTAAGCTGTGTTTTTTACTAAGACATTCATTCAGAAGGCAATTTAAAAAGTGCGTTGTCTCACATTTCTCGTGAGAAGAGTTTGAGACAAGTTCCTGCGCATAACACAAAAGCAAAACACCAGAGACAAAATTTTAAAAAGTTGCGGAAATTTTCAAAAGATTGCGAATAATATATGCCCAAATGTCAGAGCTCAGTGAGACAGGCTTTAGGATTAAAGTGCTTGGTAAATAAGTGAAAGGCCTGTGCAATGTCTGTTCTGTCCTCATTTGTCCTGTTAGTCCATCCATGGAGAGATAGAGAAACATCAGCCACAGCTGCAGGCAGTTGTGGATCTTGCGGAGGCTCTGAAAGCCGTCCTGCGRGGCAACGGGAGTCTGGTGGACGATAAAGTCAGCCTGTTGCACTGCAACTGGATCGCAGTCACGTCGAGAGCAGAAGAATGGCTCAATCTGCTGCTGGTCAGAGATATTCTAACCATCCTGTCACAACTCCAACATGGTTTATTTGTTACAGTTCCCTCAAACGTCTACTAAAACTTCTGTTTGTTTATTTGTTTTTCTCAGGACTACCAGCAGCAGATGCAGAAGTTAGACGAACAGATAAAGGAAGTGAATGGATGGATTGATGGAGCAGAGATAAAGATGGATGAGATTGACAGTCAAGGACCCAACAATGCTGTTCTGAAGGTATTGTCGTCTCTACGTCCTTTGTGTCGTTTCTTTGGTTTCTTTTAGGAACCTTTACGTTAGCAGAGTTACAGTCTGCTAACTATTCTATTCTAAGCCATGTTCAGAACTCCAGATACAGCGGGTTAAATAAGTATTGAACACGTCACCATTTTTCTCAGTAAATATATTACTAGAGGTGCTAATGACATGAAA